TCACTGAGGATGCTTCTGATTATGGCAGTGCTGGCAGGGATGTTACCAATTTCATTTGGCATCTTCCCGCAGTGTGGTGAGGTAAGTCCTTTGAAATAAACTGGTTTAGGATTATTGTTATATTAAACAGTCATTTTGCGTTTCCAGTCAGTGATTTTTAAGGCCACATAACAAAAATCAGTAGTGTTTAAATGGCTAGTGCATCTAAAAGGGGGCAGCAAAGAATCTGCCCATATACTACACAGAGGCTTACAGGACTTGCTGTGCCAGGATTGCTTGTATGTCACTTACATTTCATCTGAAAAGTGTAGATGTATCGCTTGCACAACAGTCTGAAGCAAGCAACGTCAGGAGAGCTGCCTTGCAGATTACACTCAAGGGCCTCCTGGTGCTTTTCAATCCTGCTGGAGATAGCAAGGGTTGAGATGATAATCTTCGTTTTCAGTAGAAAATGAAGTTTTCAGTCAGAGAGGTAAACCAACTCAGGTAGAATCTCTTCAGCCTGCCTTACTGAACCGTGAGGTGTGTAACCTGTTCCTGGGGGAATCTGCTGACAGGTTTTAAAGGGAGGAACTGGGCACTGGAACCTTGGGGGTTGGAAAAGGACAAGTAAGAGAAGAGCTTGGGTTTTCTTTCTGAGTTTCCTCTCCTTTAAAGCAGTGTGAATATTCTCAGAAAATCACAGCTGGGGCTCTTGTAATTGCCAGTGTTTGTTCTTACTGGCCTAAAAATACTGGCATCTTATTATTTTCAGGGATTTCTCAATTTGTTGCAGCAACAAGGGTAAACCAGATGAAAGTGAGGGGATTTAGAAGAAATTCTGTGCTGAAAATATGGCTAGTTGTTTCTTCTTGAGTTTCCTAATTGCTCAGTCCCTGATAGAAGATCCCCTTAGTGAGTCACCCAAATACAATCAGCAAAGATGATATCGCTAGAGCTGTGTTTAGATCTTGGGAATACCTCTAGCTTTAAATAAAACACATTTCCTCTTTTGTGTTTGTATATTTAGAAATGTCAGAGAAGAGAAAGAAACAGAAAACCACATAACAAAGAGACCCATGAAAACCAAAACAAACACAAATTACATCTTACTCTTGCTTCTGAATACAGTGCTTTGGCTTGTGCAAAGTTCAGTACAGTAGTGAAGACTTACCAGGCTATGATGGTGTTCATTCTGTTTTTTTTTATGTTTCAGATAAAACGAGAAGAACTTGAAGCAGAAATTCTGTCATCTACAGAAGAAACAGTATTATTCTACAATAGAGGAATTTAGAGATTGGCTTTTGTATCTAAATGTGGGTTTTGATTAAAGTGAATTCTGAATCTCTCAACAAATTCAGTCAACATCAGTGACTGAATGAATCATGAATTTATGGTGGCACACAAACCAGAATTGGTGTACAGACAGGCAGGCACTGCAAAATGGTTTTGCAAGCCAAGTCCCCCAGAGAAGTATGTGCACATAACTTAATGCTGTAAACATGATCTGTACCAGAAAACGCTGTTCTAACATCTCAAACTGTTTTGTATGCTTTCTCACACAGTTGATTTCTTGATTAAAGGACTGATCAGTTGATACAAGACTTTATTATTTGACTGTGTTGCTATAGCTTTTGACACATTGCTTTCCAGGAACACAATTGTAAAGGCAGTACTATCAGGAGTCCTTTGGAGAAAATCAAGCTGGTTCTCTGCAGAAAGCTTTTTACAATTTCATTGTAAGACATGAATAAGTTAAACCTTGAAGTGACATTAGGCAAAGCACCCTGACAGCAATGTTACTGTAGTTGAATGGAGTTGCTGAAGAACTGTTCAAAAATTGAATGTCAAAACAGGTTCCAGAGTGACTCCTAATTTTCTCAACATCATTGAAGGAGTTGTGAGGCCTGAGCCCTCTGAGCTTTAAAATCTGTGGGTTTTTTTTTTCCACGGAAGCCCAAGGGAAGTCCTGTGACTTCACAGCAAACAATGAGGAATCTCCATTTCTGCAGGTTGGCTGCTGATCCAAACTAAAAAGCTGTCTTTTAAGATGTAGCATAAGGATTATCAGCCTGGTGATCTGTGCAGCAATAGCAGATGTTAGCAAAGAGAGCTGACAATGCTGGATATAAAAACAGGTGGAATACATGTCCAAAAGCACGTGTGAAAGATGATGAGTTTGGCAGAGGGGTAATCTGCCTTCACTGCTGGGCTGTAGGCTGTCCCATTGACCCTTGGAGAATTCAAGGCTAGCAGCAGATAAACTCATGGAAGCTTCAGCTCAGTGCTCCGTGGTTATCCATAAAGGAAACAGTCTCAGAAATTAAAGTGGGCAATGAGTTATCAGGGAAAAGCTCCAGAAAGTCAAACTTTAGTTAGAAGCTAAACCTAAAACCCTGCTATTAAAATTTCAGAACTCCACTAACTGAAATAACTGGAACTCGTGTTTAAAATAAGCACTTAAATGAAAACAAAATCCATTGAGGATTATTAAATTAATGGAAATTAGACTAAAACAAGACAAAGTTCAGAAACTCAGTACTACTGGAGAGCAGAAGGGGTAACAGGGGTTTGCCTGCTCTTGCTTTCCTGTTGTGTCTGCTTCTGGTGGCCACGGGGCTGAGACATTTGTCTGAAAACAGCTTTGGTCTGACACAGCACAGGTGCTGTTATACTGCTTGATGTTGTGACTCTCCTCCTAGGGAACAAAATAGAAGAAAGCTCCACGACTGGTAGAGACCCAGTGGTTCTGATAACCATGGGTGGGGTCATAGCAGAAATAGATTTAAGGTAATGGGAGCTGTAATTTAAGGCACTCCTCCTAAGGCTCTGCGTGACAAGGACAAGCTATGCACCAAGTAATGTAATTAATGATCACTTCGACAGATGTTTTCACAAGTACTACCTTCAACGTTTGTAGTAGTTTAACTTCCTCAGAGTGCATTAAATGCTATCCCATTGCTGAAGGATTAGATTTCTTTTCCTGGTGTGAGGAAAGCAATAGCTTCCCACTCTTAGTCCCTACAGGAAGACAGCAGCATAGAGCAAAGTAAGGAAAAAGAGTAGGCCTGCTTTCTTGCAGGAAAACAAGGGTGCTGTGCTTTTGCCACAAAACAAAAGCAGGAAGTACAGTTTTCAATTCAGCTTTTTGTGCAAGTTCTGCCTTTCTGAGCCTTCCCCTCTCAATTTAACTCCAGTGAAAGGTCGGGCAAGGAAACAAAGGAGGGGAGCAGGAACACATCTGATGGACCTGAAACTTCAGGGGAGCACACTGTAAAGCTGTTTCAGGAAGGTGGTATGGCCACAATTTGCAAGTTAACAGAGAAAGGTACCTTAGAAGTTCATTTACACCTACTGACTCAAAAGTCCCATGAAGCCCAAAATAAATAACCCAAATCTTTATATTCATGCTTCTGAATACAGTACTTGCCTTGTGGGTCACGTTTTTAGGTACATAAAAGCCCATTGGGTCAAGAACACAGCAACAGTTGCTCTGGATCAGCCCAAAGGTCCTTCTGGCCTTATGTCACCACCAACAGCAGCCAAAGGAAGATGCAGGAAGAAAAGACTGCATCAAGTTCAGCACTCCCAAGCTGGGAAGGCACTAAGGGAAAGGCTTGTCCTGTTCCTTTTCCCTGCATACCACCTCCTGGCTGCTCTGGGATGTTGTGCAGAGGCTTAGGAGCAGGCTTACAGTCCAGCCTGCCTCCCACAAGCAATGATGTGCTGGTCTCCTTCAAAATCTTTAATTAGCACAGCTACTATCCTACAGTTAAATTCTCTAAAATCCCATTTCTCTATTAATCCTATTTCAGTAAGATTGTGAAGACAAACCTCGAGGGAGTCTAATACTGTTGGTAAACATTAATTGATACTCCAAGGAAAGCTCATACCTCCCCTCATTTAAAAACAAACATCCGTGTCAGACTGGATAAAGTAAACAGTTGTTCTGTAAAGCACAATGGAATCAAAGCAAAAGCAAAACAATCCACAATAGAGCAAAACCTACAAATCTGAAGATAACACATTCATCAGCTGGGTTGTCACAGTAACTAGACAAGCCATAAATTGTCTGGCACCCCACTTGGAAGCAAATTAATGTCATCACATCTCTGTGAGTAAGGTTTATGGAATAAGTCCAGTAATAACGTCTGTTATTACAGCTGCCCATTATTAGTGAATGCTCAAGTTGTTTGCTGTATTAAACACAACCCCCTTGGAGTTGTTAGACATATCTTCTCTTTCCCTCATTCTCAGAAATGTTTCCATTTCCCTAATCAGAATTTTCTGGAAGATAGAGGCAAGCACCTGACATCTAGATTGGCAGCCAGGGTGATTCAGCTGTTTCCCACATCAAGGTAGGCAAAATACATTGCTGACAAGGCCCTGGCTTCCTTGATCTTGAAATGAAAACATGATGAGACTGAGACTAGAAGCAGCTGGACCAGACACCTGGTATGCGAGGAGACCAAGATGGGACAAGCAGCAGTGCATTGTATTTGAGGGACTGAAGAACAGAGTCAGCACCCACAGCTTTATGACTTGGAATAGATTAACAACACACCAGCACAAGACAGGTCTGCTTTCAGCATTGCTGCCTCCTGCTTTCAGCATCAGCTGCCGTCGTAAGTGGCAATGTAGCAGTGGAACCAGTTTAAGGTGTGGTAAACTAGAGTAGATGGGAGCTTCCAGCTTCAAGGAAAACCTAAGTCTCAGTGCAATATGCTGACAGTTCCCCACCTACCCAGCTTGTCATCCTGAAATTCAGGAATATATAATGAGGCTTCAGTGTCATTTTAAAGTAGCTTCAAAGAAATAAAACGTCAGACACTCCTACTGTTGGAAATACTGAGATCAAAGCATTTCCTCCGTTGGAGCTGGTGTCCCTGTGGCTATCCTACAAGTCTGTAACATTGCCATGCTTTTCCCTGGAGGTCGTAGGGGAGGAAGGAAAGAAGCAGGTAAGGAGGGAATCCTGCACTGCTCAGCAGCTGCTTCCCTACCAGCAACACCACACGCTGTGCAGCTCAGAAAAGCACTGTGGTCCCATCTTTGGAGTCTCCACAGAAATTCTGAAGACATCTTGTGCCACTCCTTCCCAGGTTACTCAGCATTACATTGCTCCCGTTCAGAACATTCCCCCTAATATTTGCCTGCAGAAGAAATATGGAAACCAGTTTATCCCAGGAACCAAAACCACAAGGATGACAGCACTAGAAATTACACACATTTTGCCTTGAAGGACTAACTTAATTAGCAAAACTGCAACCAGAAGGATTGGTTACTAATCCTGCTCTCCCTTGTAGGCCTTTGGCTTTGTTCACCATCTACCACTGTTTTTGCAAGCGTAGTGGAGATCTGATGAGATTGTACAGTACAGAAATCACAAGGGCAATGGGTAAGGCACGGAGCACGTTTTCTCCCTCCTCACCTGAGGAAGGAACTGCACTGCAACTTCCAAGAATCAGAAAGCCTTACTTTTGGCCAAGTGCTGCACGCCTTTGGGAGCAGCGTCTCTCAGCAAGTCAACAGGAACCATCGGTCATCATTTCACACTGATCCAAGGACAGAGAGGCAGTAAGATGAGAAGGTCTGCATGAAAATTTCATCTTGCACAGTCTTTGCTTCTAGGAGGAGGAAGTAAAACTGTCATCTGACTGTTCCCTATCAAAAGCAGCACACCCAAGTCTCAGCTGGTGTGCATCCTAGGCAGAGGGAAGCGCAGAATAAGCCGAAACTTCTCCCTGACCTTCCAGACTGAAGTTTTATTCCAATGTGCTCCTGGGAAGAAACAATTATCAAGAAAATCTAAGCAGATTAGCACTATTCTCTCAAAGTGCTGAAGCTGAGGGAAGCCAATACTTTTTATTTTATATTTTAAACCAGGACAACCAACAGAAGATGATAAAACTGTTTGAAGTTGTAGCAGCAGTGCATTTTCCACCCAAGCAGCAGCCTCATTTCCAACCCCAGCATTGCACAACCAAGAGCTACAGCTCGTGAGCACTCAGAAATAAATTCACATAAATTAAAGGCTAGGCTGGTCAGGATTGTTGTTTTTAATAAGCATAAGCATGCTATGAGTCCAGTTCTTTAAGTGCAAAATTATAGTTCATTTGTGTCACACAAGTATTAGAATACAAGATCTAAAACTGAGGCCTTCCTGCTTTTAAAAGAAAGCAAAAAAAAAAAAAAAAAAAAAAAACTTTTATTTTGTGTTTGAGCTTCTCTGCTTTTTGTGGCTGCCCATAACCCCACACCACCTTAATGAGGACACCTGCAGGGCTTTCTGTAAAAAGAAACTGATTTTCTCTGCGATTACAATGTGGCATTACAGGACTTGACAAAAATTCTGGTTTTTCTCAGCAGACCTTAAAGCAGATTCTGAGAATTTTCAGTGTAACTTTGCAGTTGTGCTGTTCTAACTGCTATAGAAGCCCTAGAATAGAAACAGCAGTAATGAAGAACCATTAAGAAGAGAAAAATTAACAAATCCAAACCCATCACACCACCTTAATGGCCAAATGAGGAAAATGCTGCAGAGCACTTGAAGGTAAATGAAGGCAGCTCGTTCTCAGATAAAACACACTGCTCTCCTGTGTTCAGAATTTAAACCACAGAGTGAGTATTTAAGGTAGAATTTGATACCCCTGAAAATAGGGGTTTATTCTGAAGCACTTCCATTCACTGACTGTAGTAGCCAGCCACTTTATACATAGATGCCACATTCCTCACCCACACTAAAACAGATCTTCTTAATGCAGTATGATACATAGCAAAAGGGCAACCCTTTTCCAAACCAATATTGCTTGCACACAGTTAGTGATGACCTCTAACAATTTCAGAATAGCAAACATCCAATTTCTTAAACAACATAAATATTGAGAACTACAGTTTTAATTATCAGTATAAAATCTCTAGGTAAAACCACATGCTACAGCCCATCTGTACAAAGGCCAGAAAAAAAAGGTTATTTTTTCTTATAACAAAGTGCTACTGCAGAATTTATTTATTTTTGTGGACATTTCTGGAGGAAGACAGGTTGCCTGGCTCACAGCATTCCCCTGCACAGAACCTAAGCTCTTCTCAGAACGTTACAAATCAGTTTCAGGCTGCTCCATGGAAAAACAACAAACAAAACTTCTGAGTTAGAGCTATGCAACCAAACAGGAAGGCAAATTTTAATTCTTCCCAGCAGAGAGCCCCAACAGCTCCTAAAATGACTTCAGCTGTAAAGCAGCACTTGTCTGCTGCCTCCCAGAAAGCCCCAGTTTACATATAGCAATCCTGTCCTCTTTTCCCTCTACCAGAGGTGTGGGACGGAGTGAAAGGGGAAAAACTTGTAAGGCAAGAGTCCAAAAGAGGTGCTCAACTCCTATGTGAGCTTTAAAATACCTCTTCCTTTACATAATAAGGCTACCACATCAGATTTTCCCAGACAGCCTTCTTCTACACCTAGACACTTTCAAGTAGAAAGAAGAGAACTTGTCCATTTATTTGGGATTTCCAGGTATCAGGTAGTCCAGAGCAAAGGCAATATCTGACAACCTGACATACCTGGAAGCCCAGAATGAGCATTCAGAACAACTCTGTGTTCAGCACATCCCTGTGCAGACGGGCACATCCAAAACACACTGGCTTTACAGCACACATGCTGCACCCTGTGTTCCAGACACAAGGAGAGAAGTCAGAGCTGTCTGTCACTGGGGACACACAAGACAAACGGCTGCTACAACACCTGGCACAGCCTGGATGTACGAGCCCACGCTACGTGTATAAACACCCTTGTTGTAACATGAAATGCAAGAACCATACACACAAAGTTACAGTTGGGGAAAGGTGACAACAGGAATGTTATCAGATATACCTCTGGATGCTCCAGGTCAAGCTCCAATATTCTGCATTACATCAAGGTAAATATGGCATTCACTCTTACGCTTTTAATTTTTCCATACAAAAAATCAGGTATTCCTATTTGTACATCCAAGACAGCTTTTGGAGTTGGTCCATAGTCCAGAAGTGCATCAGATCAGATTTTAAGCATTTGCTCAGCAGCTGCTAAATGAAAAAGAAAATTTTCTGTAGCTGGTGGAAATCGCTTTTGTTTCAGAGCTTCAGAGTTCAGGGTTGGTTTTTCATTGCCATCAGAAACTTCAGTAAGTGAGGCTAAAGTAGACAAGATTTCTTTTGTCTTCAGAGAAATATCCTTAAAGAACCAAAAAAAATAAAATAAAAAAAAAAAATTAAGCAACCAGAAGTAAGGGATGAGGTATTACATGTTTTTAAATCTTATTAAAAAAATCATAAGGAATAAAGAAAATGAGACAAATAGTTAATTTTGAATAAAGGCCCTATTTATTCCATTGCAAATTTGCAGCAGCTCTTCTCTGGTACAATACTGATGAAAGGAGCAGCTGATGGAACACAGCCACTCCATAGATTCTTCTCCCTGGCCTAACTGAGCTTTTTTGATTAAGCTGCTCAATACTGAAATGGGCAGTAATCCATTGAATAGGGCAGGAAGTTAAAAAAAACAAAAAAACAAAAAAACAAAACTTAAATAAATGAATAGATTTTATAGCTGAGAACCCACATTATCAGTAGAAGTCATTCAGAGGTATTGATAGTACAATTGACAATGTACTGAGCAAAATACACACTCCATAGGGTAACACTGCAAGGTTCATCTCACTGGAAGCCTCAGACTCCATAAAATTTCTGAAGTTTCTTCAGCAATGTGGTTACCCAAGAGATAACATAAACAGGTTATCCTTACAACTGTTTGGAGAATAAAAATGCTCATTTGTAAGAAAGTAAAGGGTACAAAACTGCACATGACTCTACGTGAGCCCCATTCCCAGTAACCACTTTCCTGCTGCTTCCCCTGCTCCTGCCAGATACTATGTGATAGAAGCAATTTAAGTGAATTTAAAAGCAAAAAACATTAAAAATTAACCTTAATGACTTGGCTGTCTGATTTGTCTGGATCTTCTGCAGATTGAACAATTAGCTGCCCAATTTCTTTGTGAAGTTTTCCCATTGTCATTGCCTCTAAACAAGAAAAAGAACACGTCCATGTAAAAAAGACCATTCTGCACTACCTAGAAATGTATCTGAAAAGCAAGGCAAAACAAAGACTCCTCTTCATCCCCGCCACGTGATATCTATCTGTAAAGGCAGTAACCTGAAATGGTGCAGCCATGCTGGCACATGCTAACTGTCCACCTTTAGCAGATACCAACGAACAGCAAGATGACCAGCACATACAGGCTTCCCTTTCAAACAGTTTCCAATCTCCAAGTATTTCAGGCAATGTTTTTCTAAAGATTCATGTGATATCTCTGCATTCAGTAATCCTCAGCTGAATGTCTCTCCCATGTAATTACTAAACATAAGTGTTTTCAAATCTCAGTTACACATTTGTTGGAAGTGAAAGCACGTCTTTCTCAATTCCAAATTTCTCCAGCATGCCAAGGCCTCCATAAAACAGAAAGACAGGATCTTCCCTGTTACATTTTCAGAATCAGTCTGGCACAAGTATTAAGACTGCTTAGGTTCAGTAGTTACTACCAACTCTGAGACAAAGAGACCTCAGATCCAAAACACTCAGAGCAACCAACCTTTTACTACAGGGGAAATGGTGATCTCACTGTCTGCCAAATTCACATACACATCATAGAGGTCTGGTCTACTGTTCACTTCAGAATCTGTAAATCCAGCAATGTAACCTGGAGAGCAGAGTTTTGTTAACATTATCATTTTAGTCTTGCTTGATAAATAAAAACAATTCCAAGACATAGTGGAAACCCCCTGCTACTACATGCAATACAAAAAGGCTGTCAATTTGAAATGTTAAACTCCTGGTTTACTACTTAATTTTTTATTTGCAAGTGAAAAACCCATCAACTTCCTTAAAAGAATATCCACTTGAGCCCCTTGTCACTAAGTCACTATTAGATTACAACTGAGGAGTGAAAACAGCAGGATTTCTTCATAGCACACCAGCTGAGCAAGCTTGGAACAACTTTTCTCTGTGAAAGGCAGTCAGCTGAAACAAACACTCTTAGTAATGCAGAAGAAATACTGAAGATGACTGGTGTTCTTGTTCATTATGCTGTATAGAGAAGCCTTGTACCTGCCACAGTCTGTGTCATGTTAACCTTCATACAGGCAAAGGGCCTCTTCCTGCAGAATAAAAATCTGGAAATTCAGACTTAGGAACTGAAAAGAAAATGCTAAAAATGAAGTTACCAGCTGCATGCAAAAGTTTGAAAACAAATAGCTTATCTAAAGTGAATTGCTGCTGTGCAACAGTAGGGCTTTTTAATCCCTCATAATGTCAGAAGACCCTCAAAGCTTCTTTTCATCTGCATTAGGAGCAGGCTGATGGGGATGCATCCAAAAACACCAAATTAACCAGTTATCTTCAAACATACTTGCTTAGGTATTTGCTTTTTTTTTTTTCCTGAAGAAAATCACACAGTTTACTTTGGAACAACAGCGATAGCAGTAGAATATCCACTTTTGCCCCAAAGAGCACTGCTGTAAGACCCTGCAGCAACAAAAAGTGAAATTAAGTTTGGTTCATATTTTATTAATGAATCGTTACTACCTGTGCAGGCTTTCAAGGCTTCCACTTCCTCTTCATTTAGATGTACATAGGAATGAAGAATTGACCAGTCCTGCCGATGCCACACTAAAGCAGGCAAAGTCCTATGGAGGTGAGATCAGTAGTTGACACACAGTACACTTTGTACCTGCACTAAAGATTCACAACATGAAAGGCAACTCATAAGGAAGAACTAACATGACCAGGTCTCAGTACACATATACACTAACTGCAGAGATTTCTGCTATCAGGGCAAGCAGAATTTATCATTCACTACCCAGTTAAATTTCTTTGTCTTAACTAAGCACAATGGCTAAAGCCCTACGAGGGATCTAAGGGGATTTCAATAAATATATTTAAATGTATTCTGATTTTTTTTTCCCCCAAAATTTGAGCACTCTCAATGAAAACTCAAGATTTGTTTGACTTCTAGGAGTAGGTGGGGAGGGACTGACAAAGTCATACTGCACCTGGTAAATTCCTGGATGGCTTCTATCCTAGGATGGTACACCACAATTCTCTTCTTTAACATCAGTGCTGTATATAAGATAACTGTTTCCATCCCAAACTGAGATACTATATCTAAAAGGGAATGGAAGAATATTTTATAGAAAATATACATGCTGATGATTTCATCTGTTTAAAGAAGCTCAAGAACAACAATACAGGTAACACTTCACACTATTTACTTGAAGAGCATATTAAAAATTGGATTGTAAACTGCACTGCACAAAATAAATTAGAGTTCTGGTATTAGTTAACCTTTAATGGAACCAGCAAGGTAAGCCTTCCGAGCATCGAAGTCTTTGCTGAGGAAGGATCCATTTTCTTCACTTTGGCAGACCCCCTTTGTGAGGACTGCAATGTAACTCTCCATCATTTTCACAGGACTTCCATACTTCAAGTAGATTCTGTGCAGACAGAAAGAATCTGGGTTTTGGACCGTAACCAGTACCAGCAGCCACATGAATAAAATGACAGTACTGCAAAGAGAATCCATTAGGCAAGAATTCTTATTTTGGACACTTGGTTGAAGTTCTAGATACTAAAATAGGAGTCTCTTGACATGCCTACAAAAACTTGTATGTTAGAATCAACGACTAACTTCTATTTTGAGTGCACTGTTTTGCAAAGGAACTAACATTTAATAACATAGAAGTGTGTAACAGTAAGGCCTAAGCAGGTGTCCAGACTAAGGATGCCTTGCACACACAGAAAAACAACTACTATAGCAACTTCTAATATTAATGCAGAGCACTTGACTAGTTTTGTCTACTACCCACATACCATTAAAAATTCTCCCATACTCTTTGCTAAATGATGAAAGAAAAATATAGATGTACGTCCTTACTATTCACTAAACACAAACAAAACTGTTAGCTGTCTATCAGGCAACAAGGGACGTTGTAGCCTAATTTAGAGGTTAAGGTCAATCAACTACCAACCTTCAATTTCAGCTAGACACAAAGTTATATCACCTTTGAAACTTTATTCACTGCTGGTAAAACATACTAGGCCTGAAGCTTCTAACACCTACTGTATGAGCTCAAGATAAGCTCAAATCAAGCCCAACTCCAGAGTTTGTATAATCTGCTTCAGTTTGTAGGACTGAATTTCCAGCAGATTGCTAGAACAAGTATTAACATAATGACATTTAATCTTTTGCCTTGGTGAGATCAAAACACATATGTAGCATCACTGAAAGACAACTTTTATACAGACCTACAGAGTATCCGAGTGAAAGCTGCATACTTCTCTGGGTTGAAGTCTTTGGCCGTCAGAACAATGGAGAAGTGGGTCACCTGAGTAAGGCACACACATAGAAAAAAACAGAGCTTACTTAACAGCCCCATAAGGACAGCGATTGTTACATACTGAACATTTTGCACTCAGACAAGATGCTTTCATACAAATAAAGTGAGTTAAAGCAGTAGATTCAAGTTACTAAACTGCAGAAAAGGCTGAGCTAATGGATTTCTGATGTGACTTATCTCCATCAAGTGAGATCTAAGACATATTATCATTTGCTTAACGTACTTAACACGTTTGCTTTCTTTTAAATAGCATCTCCTACTGCCTTTGAGACAGAACTAGGTACGTTTTCATACTGTTCAGCCTCATAGCTGATAGGAGCTACGGATTGAGGAAAGGCAAGGAACATTGTGCTGCAACATTCTGTATGCATTCAAAACTATCACGTTGTACTGCTCCTTAACAGTGTAGGATGAAATAGAAAAAGGGAAGAAACTTAACAGACAACTTAATGATCTTTATAATAGGCAGATAAAGAAGCAAATTCAGTCTTCTGTTCTTTAATGGAGTGGAAAAGAAAGGATCTAAATAATGTTACTCTAGGTCCCTAAGAATAAGAGTTCGGAATAGGAAAGACTGTTTGTAAAACTTTTTTGATTAAACAAAAAAGGATGAACTTGAAGTGCAATAGCTAAAATAGTAGCATCTCCATTTTTACTCTTATTGCTCAGTTTGGATTCCACTCATCTCAACCTTTCCCAAAAGCAGCCAGTCGGACAGCTGGGTAGGACCTGCATCCGTACACATACAAAACCTCACGGCACAGAAGGGCAGCGCCGTGTTTGCATTTAAACAGCAGAGGAAGCTCTGCACAAGTCTTCCTCGTGCTCTGCTGAGGAGCCCGCAGGCCCAGCCCTACCTTCTTCAAGGCTGGAGAGTCTTGAACTTCCACCGTGGTGATGTAGAACCACGTCCTCTTGTACTGGCCGAACACAAAGGTATGAAGCAGTTTACTCTCATCCGTAAGGCAGCATTTCCGCAGCAACAGAGCCCTCAGCTCAGCCGTCACAGACGGATAACACCAAACCCACAAAGCATCTCCGTTGCTGTCTTTTTCTACGGCGGAAAGACGGGCAGCGTGAGAACGCCAAGCGGCAGCAAGGAAGCGAGATGACTGCCTAACCACAGCCGGATTAACGCCTCATCCTACGCGTCCAGCTCACGCGCTTTACGTCGCTCGGCGTTCCCCGTTTCCGAGCTCGCCCCGCCGCAGCCCGGCCCTTACCGATCAGCCCCACGCCCAGCAGCAGCTGCGTCTCCGGCTCTGCCATCTTCCGGCCCCGCGCCCCGCACCGCCCGCCTTCCGCCCGCTCCGCTCCGCTCCGCCCCGCCCCGCCGGGCCGCCATTTGCTGCCCCCTCCATCGCGCTGCTTCCTTCCTCAGCTAACAGCTCTCATCTCTCTAAGAGGCGGCGGACAATCGACGTGAAGAACATAGGTTGCGCTGCCGCCCTCCCGCTGAAGTGACCTCGCAGAGCTGCGCCCAAACACCCGGTTGTTCCCAAAGGCTGAACGAGCCTCGTTAAGGCAGCAGTAATTCACAAAGCTCAGTAGCTTCATTTGAGAACAAAACCATCACAGGATCACAGAACGGCCCGGGTTGGAAGGGACCTCAAGGGTCATGAATCTCCAACCCCCCTGCCACATGCAGGGCCACCAACCTCCACATCTAATGCTAGACCAGGCTGCCCAGGGCCCCATCCAACCTGGCCTTGAACACTTCTGGGGATGGGGCATCCACAGCCTCTCTGGGCAGCTGTTCCAGCACCTCACCACTCTCATAGTAAAGAACTTCCTCCTGACATCCAACCTAAATCTTCCTTCCTTCAACTTAAACGCATTTGCCCTTGTCCTGCATTGTCAACCCTCTCAAAAAGTTGATTCCCCTCCTGTCTGTAGGCTCACTTTAGGTACTGGAAGGCTGCAGTGAGGTCACCCCCCAGCCTTCTTTTCTCCAGGCTGAACAAGCCCAGCTCCCTCAGCCTGTCCTCATAGGGGAGGTGCCCGAGCCCCCCATCATCTTTGTGGCCCTCCTCTGGACCCTCTCCAACAGCTCCCTGTCTTTGTTGTACTGGGGGCTCCAGACCTGGACACAGTACTCCAGATGGGGCCTCACAAGAGCAGAGTAGAGGGGGACAGTTGCCTCCCTGTCCCTGCTGGCCACCCCTCTCCTGATGGAAAAAAAAAAAAAAAAAAAAAATTACTGATGGAAAAAAACCATCATGTTTTACAGCTCCCTTCAAAAACCTGCCCAATCCAAAACTTCCTGGGGGCTATCAGGAACTTCGGAGATGTTTATTAAAAGTGGAGTGAGCTTCCTGAATAGCAGATGATGCCATTAAACAATAGGAGGTACGTGGTAGCACACCTGCAGCCCACTGCTAGCATATTCACTGCAGAGAGCTGTGAGACTGCAGGGTCAGTGGTGGTACAGCAGCACAGACGGGTGTGCTTCAGGTGCATGAGGCTGTGCTGCAACAGGCAGTGTGTGATGGTCTTACTTAATGGGCGTTATGTTAATTGCATTAACTCGAGAAGAAGGCTGGCTCAGCACTAGGAATAGCTGAAGGAAGGCTGCATTGGAAGTATAAATTATATACATAAGTGGACTTTTTTTTTTTTTTTCTTCTTTTTTTTAATTAAATCATGCTTGGACATAGCTCAGAACCCAGAGGGAGGCAGCTGGCTGTGCTTGCAGCTCCATCTGCGGTGCCAGCAGGGATCTCACTGCAACGCTACACGCTTCTGCTGGGAGACGCCCCATTCTAGCACCCACTGACCCCAAATATCCCATCCCTCGTACGTTTCATTGCTGCTGTGCTAGGAGTTTGGGCTCAATTCACGTGTCTTAGCGTTACTCCATCTTCCCGTGTCAAAACAATCTTTCACACCCGACGACAGCTCCTCGCCTCAGTCCCTTACAGAACGCCCCTCCACACACAACGTCCCGCCCCCCGAGAGGCACTTCCGCTTCCGGCGACGTCACCGCGCGCGGCGGCAGGGCCCTCCCTTTCCGGCCTCGCGGGCTGCTGCCTGAGCACGGAGCGCGCTGCCACCGCCGCCGCCCTGTGAGGAGAGCCGAGGCCGCCGCCATCATGCCGGTGTACTTCCAGCGGCCCGAGAATGCCCTGAAGCGGGCGAACGGTCAGTGCGGGCCGCCGCTCCCACCCCTCACAGCTTCGCCCCCGCTCCCCTGAACGCGCCCCGCGCCGCCGCTCGCGCAGGGCCTCGGATACCGAGCCCCCCGCCGCCGGCCCCTCGGTGTGACGCCTCGGCCTCCGCCGCCCCGGCGCCGAGGAGAGGCCGTCCGCGAGCGCCGAGGCGCCGCCCGGCCGCAAGGAGCGGGGCAGGGCCTGCCGCCGCATGGCGCCGCGAGGCGAGAGGAGGCCCGGGCGGCCGCGAGGAGAGGGCCCGGCTCCGCCTACCGGCCCCGGCTGGGCCCCCGCGGGCGGAGGCGCAGGGCCGGCCCCGAGCGGAGGAGGGCGGCGGAGGGGCCGGGGCCTGCGGAGGGCGGCGGGGAGTGAGGCGAGGGGCTGCGGCCACGCTCTGCACGGCGGCTCGTGCCCAGCGCTGCGTCCGGCGCAGCCTCGCCCGCTTTTGGGGAATGAAACCGGTCTGGGCCCAGGCGCTGTTCCTCGCTGTTGGCTGCGCGCTTAGCAATCCCACACCGCGTTGGTGCCCCCGGTGAGAGCGCTGGTGATTAAACGCCTCCAGCGCCGCGCAGGCCGGTTTGCCTCTAGATTAGAATGCAAGTCGGAGCGCGCTGTGGCTGCCTCTTGCTGACTGCTACGCATAAAGCTGGATTGGATGCGTTTATCAGCTGTCTCCTTTCAGGCTAAATATATGGCTTTGGCGCTTTTCTTCATAGTGTCCTATTTTAAGCACCTAGCAAGATGATTTGTACCATTCATTGGTACAGAGTGGTGCACTCAGACATCCAGAAATTACAGCTGATGTACGGGTCTGGAAATGACAGCTGGAGGGGTGGGTAGTCTGGGGATTGGATGCAATCCAGTAACTTTGTATCTTGAGATCCAAGAAGTGTGGAATAAATACTGAATCTCCTCGAGATTTCTAATCTGAAATTCATTCTATAGTAATTTCTATACACACAAAACATACAAAAAGAATATCAGATCCAGTGTTTCCTAAGCCAGAGCTGAATTTTAGCTGTCTTCTTACTGGGAAAGGTGTCTGTATGCTAGTACACTATCTTGTGTTCAACTTCAGAATTCATGGGCAGATGAAGTTCTCGCATCACTTGACCATCTTTCTGCTTTGCTGCTACTGAAGAGCAGTGTTACCTTTCCACCTCTCATACTGCTATAAGCCTCCTAAGTTCTAATGAATTGAAGGAGTGGGCCATGAGGACTGGAACAAAAGGAAGTGTTTTCTAGACAAACGCTGACAATCCTAAGCCTTCACTGTCTGAATGGAGAACATAACAAGCTGTATCAAGTCTTTGCAGACAGTAAGGGCTCTTTCTAACCATGTCCAAGTAAAATAAAGGGAGAGAAATCATTCGCAAGATATGTTTTTCAATCATGAGAACACAGTTCTATGTTAAACTGATGTTTCAAATTGGAACGCTCAGTGCTGTTTCCAGTTTTATTGCTTTACCCACGGAACTGAAGTGAGCATGTATTTTATGCTTCAGCTTCCCTGTGACCTTGATGTACATATAAGTAGGAAGTGTTGGAGTGGTTACAGATATGTAGATGTGGAGAAAAGACTCTTTTGTTACAAAAGATAGTTGATCAAAGCCCTTGGCTGTTAATATCTGGTGCTGCTGTGTAGTCAGAGATGCAGATCAGATTGGAGGAGAGCTGTGTTGTTCATGGTGTTGATCCTGCTCTCTGCTGGAGGTGCTGAATAGTGAAGGACATCTTTTCAGCTTCTTGAATATACTTTTTTTCATTCCTCAGTTTGAAACCTCCCCTTAATGCAGGGTTTGGGGTTAACAGTGATGTAGTTATCAAGGTGTATCTGGTGTTCCAGTCTGCTTAGAGCTTCAGTTGCTGTTTTAGACACCCTTTCGCATTTTTAGTGCTATAATGTAAAAACCAGAAAAAATACCAGTCCCACTGCTTTCCTGGGGCTGATGCTTTTACATCCGCTCTGTCACAGTTGTTTCCATAATTTATGTTTCTGCTGTAAGACACAGAGGCATGGTCTGTGTTTGACTCTTCAGCTTCCCTTTGTTACGTGCTTTTACTACAGCGTGTGTTAAATTAGCCTTAATTATTTGATGTTTTGGCAAGAACTCTGCTTGGCCAGAGTTAATTAAAAGTCTCAGAACAATATGAATTCATGTTGTGCTTTGTCCAGTTAGTTATCGACCACTGAGAGATGTGGTGGTTGAAATGGCCTGGCACTGCTGCAAGATTAAACTTGCCTTTCAAGTTCATTTTCATAAATAGAAAATAATGAAGCTGAGCAGTAAGTGCCTAAAAGCAGCACCAAGGTAGAGTAACAGTGTAAATTATAGGAGAGAGGGTAGCTTTTCTGAAATTCCCTCAGTGAGTTTAAAATGCTGCTAGGAGCTGTCACATTTTAACCTTATTTATCTTTAAGAGGAGACCCTGTCTTTTTCCTCTAGAGGACCTTGATCGTCATATGCAAACTTGTTATTCACATGAACTAGGCCCCAAGTGCATGGCATTGTGGTCCTTAGGTTAAAGTGTCACCTGCTGGTTTTGAAATACAACTTTTACTCATATTTAATTTCAGTTGTGAGATTCCAGACCTTTGGACACTTAGGTTGTAATGGTAATCTGTGTGTGTGTGTGAAATCTGATGAGGACTGCCCCAAATGTTCCTTGCAGTCTTTGAGGCTCACGCCTGTCTGCCTGGGTACCTTGAGCAGGTTCCTATTTTTAACCATTCTGCCATTATTTCTTTTAGCAACACAGTCATTTCCAAAGTGCTTTAATGAAAGTGCTAATTCCATCCTCCTTCCTTTAAGAATAAACATTTCTTTTTGGTTGTACTCAGCTTTATTTTCTTTGCCTTTTTTTTTTTTTTTTTTTTCCCCTCCATTCTGTCTTTAATCCTGTTTGCTTCCCAGTCTTGACATTCTTTTATCTTGCTTTTCTGTGGTTAAGAATGCTTTTAAGTGTAGGGCCTGTGCTTATGTTGATAGGTGGCTGTTAGGCTTTGGTATTTGCTTGTGTGTGGTTTGCTGTATTTTGTGCTGAGGACATGTGGGTATATCATCAAATCACAGACTGACTTTGTTTGGAAGGAGCCTCAAAGCCCACCCATTACCAACCCCTTGCTGTGAGCAGGGGCACCTCCTACCAGTTCAG